TACTATGACCATTCTTTACTCATTTAGAAATATGGTTTGAATGGAGTAATTTGAGTTGTCTGATGCACTTGATACAATTTGACTTGTTAACGTACTGATGTGTTTATTCAAAAACCATTTTCCACACACAAACACAATGTCATGACTTTTTCAACACCTTTTAGACAAACTATGACTTTCTTTAATATGTTTAGAAATCCTATACTGACATTACAGACAAACTATATAATATAATTCTTAACTACATACTTAACAATCATACAACACATTCACACACCATTGACCCAACTCAGGTTTAAAAATCTGGTAGTATGTGCTCACAGCCCTCCGATTGAAAGACGACTGCAGTCACTCACCGCCAAAGTCGCCGTACGAATGACTATACTGTAATAAAAGCTAAATGGTCAGTTTGGTCCGTTCAGCTTTTTTATCTTCTAGAGCTTTAGGTCGTCAGATTGGATGTTTCTTGAAGAAACACTTATGAGCATGGACTGTATTTATTGTCAATGTCAACCACCAACGGAGCATCAGTGATACAGGTTTCCCAAGAAGCCATTGTTGCAGTGTCTCCATAAACAAGATCAGCTTCTTGCCTCAGGCTGAGAGATTTCTCAACTCATACTTAAAACTAAATAGAACGTATATTATTTTTGTGCAGTAGTAGCCCTCCTGTGTTGTAAAATAAGAATAAAATATGTTGGAATGCTTCTCCCTTGAAAATGGCTGTTTATCTTAGGCTGGAGCCACACCAGAACGGTAACGGTCGTATCCGCTACAGTTCTATCATATAGACGCTTCACACAAGGCCGACAGGGAAACGCAGATAACGATAACGGGTCCCAAGGTGGGTAGATCTGCGGACGAAACGCTCTAGGGGGGCCAAACGGCTCCGTGTCTACGCCCTATATGATCATTTTCTGATAACGATGACGCAATAGCCCCACCTCTCCCCACCTCTCCTGCTCACCCCCGTGTCACCTGCGTCATTGCTGATGTGTTTCGCCAACAACAACAACAGTTTTCCGAGTGTTTCGAGCCAGGTCCCGGTATCTCGCAGGACAGTGCACCCAGCAGGTGCCTCCAGCAGAGACCCCCCCGCATGGCAGAGTTTCAGTCAGCCGAAATCTAAAATTCTTCGGTCAAAATGTCGCTTATCGTTTAGGTGTCCTTTGACACTCAGCGAGTCATAACATTAGCTAGAACTAGCTAGATCTGATCGATATGGACATAAACACGAGTGAAGTCTATTCGGACAGGAGAGAGAGATCAGAGATCAAGAGCCCTGCCTCTCCCCAACTCTGCTGCTAAATCCACCGCGGAGAATAAACAGAAGGGCAACCATGGCAACCATGCTCGGAAGTCTTCTTCGCTGCTTTTGGTGTATTTTGTGGCGGAAGTACAAAGCCACTTACAGGCCTGGCATATGTACTACAGCAAATGTATTATCTCTTCGATTTACACACGGCATCTATTGCACGTCTGTCCGTCCTGGGAGAGGGATCCCTCCTCTGTTGCTCTCCCTGAGGTTTCTCCCATGTTCCCCTTTAAACTGTGGGTTTTCTCTGGAAGTGTTTCCTTGTACGATGTGAGGGTCTAAGGACAGAGGGTGTCGTATTGTCATACTGATATTCTGTACAAACTGTGAAGTCCACTGAGACAAATGTAACATTTGTGATATTGGGCTATATAAATAAACATTGATTGATTGATACAGCGTCTCCAGCGGGTCGAGCGGTCTCGTGTGGAAGGACACGTTTCTGGTGCCTATTGCGTGTGGACGGAAGACTTTTTTGATAACGATTTTGGTTTGTTTGCGTTACCGTTCTCGTGTGGCTCCAGTCTTAGTTTATGTTTCGATTGAAATGTTAAACACAGCAATGAATCTCTCATGATATTAAATAGAGGATAAAGAGTGAAGGCTTCCTAAATCTGAACAGTCTTTCGATGTTTCTGGGCTAAGAAATGTAACTGTGTAAATGGATCCGATATAAAGACATGTTTTTTTAGATTGTTTTGAAACAGACAGACTATTCCCAACAATGACTGCTTTGCCATCCTTGAATGTTTACATTTTTCACAATGAACAACAGAAATGATGGCTGAATACGTACTTCCTGACATGAGGTACAGTCCGTTTGGATCCACAGCGAGACACGTGACGGAGTCCAGGTGAGCCACCATCGAGTGGATCAGTTTACCTTCAAACCGGAAAAAAGAAGAACAACAAATGACTCTCTATCCAATTTAATCAGTCTGATAATCTCAACAGACATATTGTAAGGCGTCAGAAAACAATGAGACCTTTTGAACTATCTGATTGGGATACATCATGATGAAGTTAACAGAATTGGACATGTAAAGTTAGCGTTGTGTTCCTTATTTAATAAACTGTTTTAATTTTGAGTTAATGTGCAACATTAAATGTTACATTCTGTTCTTGTATATATCATATTTTCATGTGTATATAGACTTCTAGCGCCATTTTTTATTTGTATTTTATGATGATATATATATATGATCGTAGGAGGAGTTCGACTCATAAGAATTTCATTGCCATTTCTACACTGAATGTGCATATGACATTGAAGGTCCCCTATCATACTGTTTTTCATCAATACATTACAGGTCTCAGATATATACAGAACCTGTCTCTGATTGGCTGAAACACCAAACAGATCATTGCAGCATCCCATAATCCCCTCTGTTTCCAAAGTGCTGATTCTCTGTCTGTTACTTTAGATGAAAATAAGGAGCCCCTCCCCACGCCCCTCAGAGAGATATTTGGTTAAAATAATCCCAATGGTGCTCTAGGAGGAGATTCATGTGATAAGGTGGGGGGGTGTTACCTTGGTTGCTGATTGGCTAATGGTTACACAAGACAAAACATAGTTATGAAATCATAAAGTGGCCAAAATCTGATCAGCTTTTTATAGAAATGGATCAGGACAAAAAGTGAGAGAATCTTTTTTCCTGAAACTTTCAGAATCTCTTTACACAGAGGGGACACATGTTGATGTAGAAAAGACATGGACAAGTGGATTTTGCACGATAGGTCCTCTTTAAAACCTTTGAATCTTTGAATGTAATGAAAGCTCTCCTCTGTCACCTGTGTTGTTATCGAAGAACTGGATGTGCCGGTCCTCCTGAGCTGTGATGGTGATTGGCAGCGTGGGATGACTCAGCACTTTGTTGATCTTGACGGGAGCCTCTGTGTGTGGGCGGACGTGAGAAGGACAGCATTAACATTTAAAACCCACAATCTTCAGTCCATCGGGGACTGAAAGCACTCTGAGAGAGATGGTGTTATCTCAAGGCTGCTGCAGGAAACACAGAGACTCAAAGCATCGAGGGAACACACAGCAGCAGGAGGGATTCTCACAGCAGAACAACGTTGTATATGTTGTTGAGCTGGTGTTTGTGTAACTATGTGGTTTTGTTTACAACCAAGAGAGAGACGTAGTAATGACATTAAACAGGTATTACAGTTTCCCTCCATGAGTGTGGTGCATGGTCGTTCATTTGTTTTCTTTGTATTGTTTCTGTTCGGATTTTATGTAAAGCATTTTTGAGCATTAGGAAAAGCGCTATAAAAATCCCATGTAGTGTTATTATTATTGTTGTTATGATGTTACCTGGAGGTCCGGCAGAGTCCAGCTGCAGGACCAGCTGCTGCGTCTCCATGTTGAAGAGTCCGATGTGTCCGGTGCTGAAGGACGTCACCATGTGAGCCGAGTCGCTGCTCACCAGATCCACAGAGGTGGGCACTCCCAGCTCTGACACACACACACACACACACACACACACACACACACACACACACACACACACACACACACACACACACACACACACA